TTAGCAACTAGCTGGTGAATATGTGTTAGCATTCAGCTGCTAAAGAGACAGATATTTCCCTCAGGAGTTGCTGGAAACTCAAACAGCTAAAAGAAGATTGGACTCACATTTGTTGACTGCCACGAGGGACATCAATGAATGCTAATGGTTCTCCATATTTAATGGGTGTGTTGATAGACAACAATTTGCTAAGAACAGCTTGTTGCGCTCCTCCTAAATGGCAAACTAAAATAGTTAGTAAAGAGATTAAAGTTAGGAAACTTGCAACAGACTGATAACACTGAGTCCATGTCAAGCTCCAACAATGTTCATCATGCCTCCCATAATGCAACTCAATTTGAAAAGACTGTTTACCTAACTGGGACATTTTTTAAAGCAGTCTTACTGTTTCTAAGCTCAAGCTAAAAACCCCGACGACATGAAAATGTTCCTCAAGAGCCACAGAAGACAAGTTTGCACAGGCTCAGAAGTACTTCCCAGGACATGAAGATCAAGTAAACTGATCTTGATGTGTACATTTGGCATCATGCCCCTTTAAGGCCGCTGTCTGCTGAAGAAAAAACATGATTATCATCACTCGTGTTTACTTTCCCTGACCAGCTGGCAACACAGACGAAAGAGGAAGATGTTCCTGACCAAAAATGGCAGTGAAGTGAGACGCTTGTGTTAAATAAAGGCTGAGAGTTTACTGTAGCAATTTAAAAAAACACAATTGTCAAAATGTTCTTATAGATGGTAAACATACATAGTTAGTAAGATGTTTTCAAGGGGTATATAAGAGCTATTCACTTTCTTTTATAAACTTCCCCCTAACGAGTACATCTTAACACATTGACCTTTGTGTTAAACTTCCCAGAATCCTCCCCCTCTCTTTTCCCATCCATCCCTTCTCTCACCACAATGTCCGCTAACACAACAGGTGTGTGGGGTTATTGGACAGAGCCAGTGACCTAACTTTGCTTATAGTCAGTGGTTCTGAGGTCTTCCCCTAAATATAGACACACATAATCCGGAGAGAGGGGATTACAGGGTCTCCTCACATCTGATCCTGTGGGACATAGGCTACAGCACACAATCCGCTCATTAAGACAACACTGTTCATACTCAGTATATTATATATATCTTTGTGCTGACTCTTTTTCCTTATTAACTCCCTCTATTGTCTTCACTTTAGTTAGTTAGTGTAATTAAGTGAGCTCTAGAGGTGCAAGAGAAGGGATTTTGTTACATTAGCACAACCAGGCTAGTCTTCTCATCTTGCTAAACTAGGCTAACCTTCTGCTAGCCCCAACAACGTGTTCACAGTAAGTACATGAGAGTGATAATGATCTTGTCGTCCAACTCTCACAAACAAATGGAGAATTAATGTGTTTAACTCAGTAGACGTTCGTTTGTTCATGTGATTCAGTTGTTTGTTAGAACTTTTTATAAACAGGAAATACCATACTAGCTTCAGGAAATCATAATTTTCATTAAAAGATGAAGATGAATTCTATAATTCCCCATTCTGAAATAGCAGCCAAGAACTGCAAAACAGTTTGTGTTCATTCAAGCATATTTCTCATAAATCATTGGGTTTGTCATTTGGTTACAGTGAGTTTTGTTCCAGTGAATAATGGTTATGTTTAGTTTAACACGTCATCTCCAAACCCTGCCTGCGCTGTCAGTCTACAATAATGACAAGCTGTGTGATGCTGCGTGGTGACGTTGTTTACTAGCATTTGAACAGCTGCAGTGTTATACTGTAGTATTGATGCCTTTACAGTGAGACTGAGCTCCCCTTCTTCGATCACTGATAAGTGCGTTATTCTGTGTGTGTCCACTGTGGAGGAAATCAAGTTCTTTCAAAACATATGAAGTGGATTCTATATCTGGAGGATTATTAATTTGTATTGGGTCAGAATGTATTAACACACACTCTCCCAAATTATCCAGTTTGAAAGTGTGTGTGTGTGTGTGTGTGTGTGTGTGTGTGTGTGTGTGTGCATATGTCAGAGTATAATGTAAGCTGCTATTTGTATCTAAGCCTGTTGCATTTACTGTGGCACAGGTGCAAGCCCCAAACTATTCCAGACCCTTTGTCGAACGAACCCTCCTGAAAACATTGACTCAAACACAACACTGACCGCTCTAGACTGGACCAATGGATTAAAGCACATTGAATGATATATATGATAATTTATACATTTAGTTGACTACATTAAAAACCTAACAGTAGACTTTTCAAATGATCAACCAAACTTTTTAAAACCTTATTTTTCTTCTTCTTCTGTTGTTATAATAAAGACATCCTATGCGTCACTCACCCTGGAGATGGTCAGGGGCTGGTTGAAGTCCTTTCCTCCGGTCAGGCGAAACCCCCAGGGGGCTGGACCGTTCAGCACGACATTGAGTGGCATGACCCTTTAATGTCTCCCCGCTGTTAGATAACAACAGCACACTGCAGGATACAAAGTTAAAAAGGGAAGGAATATCAAAGTGATGGAGATTTTGACCCATGTGGGTGGGTGCAAGGGGAGGAGAATGGACAGACCCCACCCCAGGAGTGAAGTCATTGGTCAGATTTTGTAAACTGGCTCCCAGACTGTTCTAGCAGCACTTGCTCGCCAGTTTTCCAATATCTGTTAAGCACTTTTTCTTAGTTTCTCTCAGACAACTTCTCTTTCTTAATAGAAAACTATCTTTTGACTTTTTATTACCACAGCTTCAATTGTCCTGAACAAATCCAGTTTTGTCTGACAGTGTGCAAGTACCTACATGGACACTTGTAATCAGAGCGAGGATGTTAACCCCCCCCCCCTTCATGGCTTCTCATCCCTGGGCAGCTTTCAGCCTGGCTTGCCTCTTCTCGCTCTGGTTGACGGGTCTTTCTGCTCCTGTCCTTATTTGGTCTGGAGGCGCAGCTCCTCTCTGAGGCCCTGGAGGTCCCGCAGGCACATTCCAGCCACTATTGATCTGGATGGGACCCAGGACTCTCACCCCTGAGCTTGTCAACAATCCAGTTTCAACACATCGTCTCTACTTTTCTGTGTTTTTACCAGAAACTGAGTATGTTTTGTCGGCTAATTATTTTTTCATCTCTCAAAAGCTTTCCTCTAGCCTTCAAACTCTTTATTCACTGTGCTCTTTGTTTATTATCACAGTGTTTTATTCCAGCCAGTTGAGGATATTTTTTCATTTTCCTCAGCATGCCTGTAATATCTGCATTACATCCAAAATTATAAAAACACCCAAGACTGTTTTTGGCTAAGAGAGAACAAACTGTGAGTGAAGCTTATTAAACTGTCAGCACTGATAGACTTTTGCTCAGATTTTTTTCCATCATGGAAATGTTTGCCAGTAACAGTTTGGAAGATGAAGATTCAAAGCACAACGTTAATCTTGGTGTAGTAGATTGTTTATACAATCTCTCTTCCAGTACTGTAATTCATGACTGCAGCGAACACATGTAGCATTATATCATATCCTACAGGGCCTATAAGCAATATGTATGTGTATGCTTTAAATGCAAAAACAATTAAAGAGATACAAATTCACCTATGTACTGTTTTATTTTTTGGTAAAAATAATTTAAAATATTTTTCAGATTTTAGGTTGTAAAGGTTAATTTAGGTTAAAACACATACATAAACCTGTACCTTAAACTTTACTTTAATGAACACATTATAGTGCGTAAAAAGAATGCTTCTTAAAGATTGTAGATGTGTATAGTTTAATTTCCCATTGGGTTAAAGTTTTTAATTGTGTTGCACCTATAACCACACCCAACAATGATGTCACGGTGTACTGAAACAACCTGGAATACGTCTATCACTGAAAGTTAAAGGACACGTCTCGTGATTTTTGTTATATTCCATGGAATGTTCTTAACATCCCGATAACAATGAATATATTAAATGCTTTGACAATAAATACATAAAAAATATCATCTGTGGAAGCTGTAGCGCTGTAAAAAGCACGACCAATCATTTTAGCCGGCCCAGCTAAAATAACTGGATGGCCTACCTGCCTGTCAGCCTTCCATCTGTGCACAAACTTATCTTGTGATCTCATTGGTCATGTGCGCGTTCGTGTTTGTTGGAGGAGGGGCTCTATGAGGAAGTGGCAGATTTCTTCCGGTTGTGTATTTTCAAATTCTAGCGCACTCGAGCTGGTTTCTTTGGTTTCTCTAAAATTACCTACCCCACCTTTAACAAAAAAATCCAACCAACAATGACCATGGACATACATTCTTGTCCACAAACACATTAATTAGCCACACTGTTTGACTGGGTAACATGTTCCTTCATTAATATAAATATGGGCACTTTATTTTCCTTTTTTGTCACTTGCACTCCTGCTGCCATACAGTAAGTGCTTACTGGATGCCTAGTGTATTAATTCATAGCTCAAAATAGCCCCCAACACATTGACCACTACCCCTGCTAAAAACTACTAAGTCAGCAGTTTAGAACATTTGTAACACTTGAAAAAATAATCAATTTTTCTCTTAGTCGTTTCATAAGGAAAGATTGAGCTACAAGACAGAGTGTTGAATTCATATAGATGGGCCAATTACTGCTTGGTCTTTTCATCCAATTTGTTGACAATAATAAACAAATGCATCACCAGCCTTTACAGCACGGGAGCTCTGCAAGCATTATTTGTATAAAGATAACCTGTGTACCCTGTAGAGTTTTAAATGTATTTTCATGGTTTTATACTCAAAATTTCCCACCAAAATTGTGTGTTTACAAAGCTTTTCTCTCAATGTTTCTTCCCTTTAATTGGCACATTGCTGCCACCTACTGATCACCACCACCAATTGTCCATAGTTGGAATTGCGTGAAGAAAGAGGATATAGACATTCATCCCCTAACCTCTGTGATTAGAATAAAAAAAGTGGTGAAAAACTCTGCAACATACCTTTAACCATCAGTAATGAGATTTTCTTTTCAGTCATCAACAAAAACAAAGTTGTCTTTACCGTCAAGCTGAACGGAAAAGATCATTGGAAAGTGTTCATCTACCAGCTGGATTTTATTAGCAATACAGCCCCAAAAAACGATCCAACATATGCTAAGATATTGTAGAAATACTTAGGTCCAAGAGTGTGCATTGTATTTGATATTAACATGAACAACATATCAGATTGACAATTTCATTACATGTATAAACATTTTCAAATTCATGTCTTTAGTCCAAATGTGATCCTGTGTTGCATCAAAGCAGACGAGAGGTTTACTGTATGTTTCAACTCTGTTTCATTCTGTGCACACTTCCTGATGTTTTCTAGACTACATATGCATAAATGAATTCTTTGCATCATGGGAAGAGGTTTACGTATACATGGCTATTAAATTAGTGAGTTGGACGTAAGGCAGCAATCCCCAACTCTGCTCACTAACTACAGTAACTTCAGTTTACATCACTGCCGCAACAAATAACTGGAGAGAAAAAGGCCTACATGCCAAGCTACAATAATACAAATCGTAAATTAGCACCACTGACGAATAATGTGAAGAAAGAAGAAGAAGAAACCAAATATGATGGTGGGTGAGAAAAAAGCTGACTTTATAAAGCAAGTGGATGTTGGCCATTTTACAGCTCTCATACAAAAGGCTTACAAAAATACCACAGACACACACACTCACACACACACAGTGTTCTCACACCAGCTGAAACAGTGGATGACAGGGGGTGACGTGAAGGACAATGAATGATAAAATAAAATAATATTTTAAGGTGCTTTAACAATTGTTTTGTTGTCAGTGTCCATCCTATATGCGAAACGTAACATGAGAATAAACATATTCACTGAGCATGACCAGCTAAGATCGAAACCTCCGATATATTAAATAAGTACAGTGACTCATTCACTCTTACAACAGGGTTAAAAAACAAAACTGCAGTAACATGACTGAAGTCTTTGATAAAATGCCATCTCATCCTTCATCTGACTTAAATAATTCAACATAAAAACATCATTACACCTGGCATGATCATAGCCCATGAACTTTTGTGTTACTTGTAACTCAGCACCTATCCTGGCAGATGCCTTACAAGAAAATACCAAGCCTTCAAATGAGGGTTTCCTGCTGTTGACAATTGTTAGAAAATCATGTTGTTCCATCCTTTCTAAAATTGTGTTAATACACATTTTGACCAACAATTACCCTCTAATAAATATAATACCTAAAACGTTGGTAACCTTTTTGCATACACTTTTCAAAACCATCCAGCCCTAGGCCCAATACACATATTAAAGTGTAGTGTGGGAATTCTGAAGTGAAACTTTAGATAAAACAAACGCAACATGGTGTTAAAATGACCTTAAAGTGCATTAATCCTAGTGTGAAGATGTTGAAAATATTTTTCGTGTTTCCTAATGTTATACTTTGAATCTAATGTATTAGGTTTAGACAGCATGTGCAACAGAGCCAATGATATTTTCGCAGATTTTGAAATGATTGCTTAATATTGATAATTGATAGTCTTTCATATTCCTAAATTCTTATCAACCAATCATTACATTGGGCGATGCCTAACATGCACACTTTTCCACATGTCAGTGTGGAGAGTAACATCCTTTTACCTGAAACACTGGCTGCAATCCCTTCAACACAGTTCGTATACAACAGACCTGTCGACGGAATACTGTTTATACAACACAATGCACTGAAGGTCTTTGGGAGTATTTGTAAATTAACACTGAAGTGAAATGTAACGAGTGTTTTTAGGTTTGACATACTGCAGAAAAATTAAAAAAGGTGGTGTGTGGTGATCTTACAGAAGCATCACGCGGTGCCGTTTCCTTTCAATGACTGTTTGCAAAGTTCCTTCGATATCTTTCCATCAAAAGTTAAAGGTCACTGACTGGAGCAAAAAGTTTGGGTTCTCCATCATAGAAAAATAAGGATAAAAAAAAGATAAGATAAAAAAAAAAAAAAATTATTTTATAGAAGTTTTCCATTAAACATGGCTAGTTAGAGCTAAATGTTCTGTCTGTGTGCAGCTGACGAGCCACACGTACACGCAAACACATAAATGTGCAAAGGGCCTCGGAGGGGCCGGTGTTGGGAGGTGGTGTCCTGCGGGTGCTGTGCTGAGGGCGCTGAAGTGTCACAGGAAGGGGCGGAGCCAGGGGCGGAGTCTGGAATCATCATTATAGCTGCTTCACGTAGTTTCCTGGGAAGGTTCCAAACAACTTGCTCCTTCGCGAGGTCCCTTTACAAACAAAGAGCAATACAATGAGAAGTCTGGCAGTAGCTGTCACTAGCATCAATTCAGCTCTCTGCAGTCTGGAGGGAAACTGAATCACATGAAAAACTCTTTAGTGAGCAAAGGATATCCTTAACGAATCAGCTCGCTCAGCTGCGCAGGATTGACTTTCCCCAACAGTCATGTTAAATATATAAATAGGTGGTGGCATCACATTGCTATCCTCCTTTGGTTGATATTTACAATGTGTATTTGGTATCATGCCTACTTTATTTTGATGCAAAAACTATTGAGGTAGAGCCTTCATTTATAATTTAGTATTCAGTAAAGAAACACAAGCTGAAAAACAACAAAAAACATGCAATATAGGCAGCAAGAAACACGCATACAACACGTATAACTATAATAAGTAAATGTGTAAATTACAATCAAAACAACAACAACACTCCTCTTACCAACAAACCAGCCATCATCACATTTCTCCATCACGTCTACAACGTCCCCCTCCTTCAGCTCCAGCTCATCCTCGTTGCGAGGCATGTAGTTGTACACGGCCTGGTACCTGCGTTTTAAAAAGGAATGGTGAAATGACACCCACCATATGCTGCAGATACTTAACAGTAAGGTTATTTTCCCTGCTATGCGTAATATGATCAGCGTGTTCTTCTTTATCCAGTGTTTTCTCTATCTGACTGTCTAACCTTGACCTGATTAAAAGGTTCAACACGGTTTTTGAATTACAACTACTGTGCACATATTGTATAACTTGCTAAGCCTTCAGTAAAGATTAAAACATAATTTTAGTTTGGGTAACAGCAAATAAGTGGTGTAATAAGAATGATAACTTACGGGTCTCCTCCACCATGCAGTGCATCCTGTACTAATCGCTGTGAGAAAGACAGGAAGAGACAGACAGGAAGTCAACATTTGGCAATGGCAAAGTTCTTGTTCGGCTGAGACGATAAACTGAGATACTGGTCTGTAATGCTGTTGATTATAATAAATAAGATATCATTAAGGTGTTATCAAATCCTTTGAAAAAAACCCTGAATAGACAAACCAATCGAGCACTCACATCAAACATAAATCAATATCTCAATTTAGACTGTTTAAAAAAACAGCATACTTTAAAGGTCCCATGTCATGGCCATTTCCACTGATCATAATTCCATTGTTGAGGTCTACAAGAATAGATTTAAATTGTGCAATTTTCCAAAATCACTTTGGTTTCTCATACAGCATCTCTGTAAACTACGTGTATTCACTGAATTTCACTCTCTGCCTTTAACGGCTCGTTGTAGCTCCAATAGCTCCAGCCCCCACAGCACAGTGTGCTCTGATTGGTCGGGACGTTGTGAATCGCGCTGAGCTCCGTGGAGGTGTGGTTTCCTTGTTTAGCGATACACAGCGAAACACAGCAAAACTCACCCTGAGCACACACAAAGTCACAGCCGAAGTAAAAACAATAAGTGTGGCTTGATATTGAGTAAGAAAAAGGTTGATAAACGCTGTGAGAATGGGTCTGCAGAGAGAATTTCGCCACGATCCCAACTGTCTGTTATCAGCCTGCAGCCAGGGAGGAGAAATCAGCAGAGCTGCCTGCACTGAGTGTGTGTGTGTGT